AGAGAGAGAGAGAGAGAGAGAGAGAGAGAGAGAGAAAGAGAGAGAGAGAGAGAGAGAGAGACTGCGTGTCTGTAAACAGATGTGTCACAGATGTGTCACAGTTAACAGAACATTTTATAGGGAGTAAGGCAAGGATATTATTACATCATTTCTTTATATTCATATTTAATAAATAAGCTTCAACTGCACAACAAATATATTTAATTTTATGTATATCCTAGTCTGCTTTGCCAGTTTGTACACATGATGCAGATTGTGGCAATGACTGAAATGAACTGAGCCGAGAGAGGAGTTAGGTGTAGGCAGCAGGGGGACTGACTGAGACACTGACAGAAAAAAGTAACACAAAAGCTTAACTTCCAACCTCGACCCCCCAGCGAACAATCCCAGTGTCTCAAAGAGATTGAGGAAAGAGAAGAGGGAGTTATATAATGACCCTTGATGCAGGGTTCAGCTTGTGTGGGGGAGGGGGACTAGAGTAGTGGTCGCATTGCATCCAGTTCCTGCTGTCAGATTAAATTTGTTGCAAGGCAGAGTCCACTACAACTCATACAATGCGGTACCAAGCACAAAACCAGCACACACACACACACACACACACACACACACACACACACACACACACACACACACACACACACACATTCTACTGATTAGTGTGAAAGCCGGCAGCACTGATTCATGGGCTAGTCCTGTCAGTCTCACTCACTCTAACACATTTTTCTCTGCGAAGTCACCCCACTACAAGCCAAACCCACTGGCAAGAAACTGCACATGTTTGAGTGAGAAAGCTACGATTGACATGTAGACTAGAGGACGTGTTTGGGATGCGGGAAGTGGGGTTTGATGCAGAAAGGCTGTAGAGTATGGATCTGTGTGATGTACACAAAATGTCTGCTCTTCCTCCTAGAGGACAAGCACACAATCCTCCTATTGTTTAGCAAAAGCCCCTTTCTGTGCACTCAATTAGCGCCCCCTTCACCATACCGGCACCATGAGCAGGAAAACACACCCCATTTGTTCTCAGTCACTCCATCCGCAAGCTACCATAGCAACCCTCACAGTGAGGTTGGGCACATCAATGGGAAGCCATCCCTACACTCATCCAACAGCCCGTGTTCCTGATAATTCCCCGGGGACAAGACAGCAGCATTTCCCCAGAGTCCATGTGGAGGTAAAACCCTTTTGGCAGCGTCTGTTCACTCACCATGTCGGTGAAACCTTCTGTAGCCGAGAGTCACTCAAATCACCACAAGCGACTGCTGATCATTTACGGGTTTTTTAATACTAGCTCTTCAACATCATACAAAAAACTTACAAACATTTTTGATTACACAAATGTATCATTTGTTCTGTCCCAGCAGCTCGGGGACGACATCTGCCATTCAACAACTGAACGAAGTACAAGTGTTAGAAATGGAATGTCGATTCCATCTGAGGTGTTAATTTTTGCATTATGCATAAGATCACGTTGCATAAGAAACAAAAGATATTACAGTATTGGGAAAGGCAAAAACATTGACCAATACCCAGAAATTAGAATACATCTAGAACAACATTCACAGTTTACATTTTCCTAGTAATTTGTTAGCATTTTCTTATAACATGATTACAATTCGTATCTTTGTCATCAGAGTTCATCAGGTCATGTAAAAGACGAGTAAAAATATTATCATATGACATAAACAAGGCTGTACACTATTGAACAATTCAATTAACAAACTCATAACTGAAATTATTACAAAACATGGATTGAAAAGAAATACAGATTTTCATGTTCTCTTATTGTGTTTAATGCCAGTTCAGTACATATTTATATCCCTGATCAACTTGATCTAAACAGAACATGCAAAATCTGTAATTTATGTGTAAGCGGACACAAACCACACGACAGCTATAACAGAAAGGCTTAATCTTCAAATCCCCACATACCTAAACGAATCCCTCTCACAGTCAACTTAAACAAACACACTTTTCTAGTTATTTCCAATGGAGATGTGAGGAACGCGCCAATAAGCATTTCCGACAACATGGTGCTAAAATACTAAAATCCAGTAGGATTCCCTGACACAGGTCGAAGCATATATGCTATTAGTTCATGTTCCAGTCACATTTAAACAACATCCTCACATTTCATGATTGTGTTTGAGGATGAGGGCTGTGTAGCCTGCAGCTAAAATATATGATTATAAAAATGAAGCTGCTCCAGATTTCCAAAAGGCGACATGTGTGACTATATGTTTTCTCTAGAGGACAAATATTTTCTTCAAATAACAAAGAGAAAATACTGTTAATTTAAGAAGATACAACTATGTTAAAAAGACAAATACTAACATTATTTATGCTGAAATTCTGCTTCTTATTTAGAGAGCTCTTTATCTCTTTTTTTCTAACAGTGGATCAGTTAAGGTAATCAATGTCCTTCATATCATGTGGCATGCGGTTACTATGGCGGTTCATAAATGAAGCCAGTCATTAGTGCCCCCGTGTGGGAACATGTACAAATATTATCCCGGCTGGATAACATACTGTAATAAGATGAGGCACCAGTGCCTTGAGATGTGGATTGAAGGAAGGACGAGGACGCTATGGCATGAAGAAATCAAGTAAAAGGTAGTCTGTATGTGGACAACAATTCAAGGCTGTGAACCAAAAACTCATGTCTCTGTCAAACCTAGGATCTCCCCGTGTGTCCCTCCGGTCTCAAGGCTTGTACCAATTCATGGAGCGCCGGAGAGCTCTCTCCCAGCTATGGAGGGCAGGGATGTATTCCCGACTCGGGCTGCAAGCACCGCCCTTGGGTGCCCCTTGTGGCAAAAACGTCTTTTCGGTGCTCTGCAGCTTGTTCAGCTCTTCCCTGGTCCTCCAGAAGCCTACAGTGACAGTGGAGGACAGAGGCAGACTTAGGTAAACATTAACACAAACCCTTTACTATACCGTCCTATAAATCCAGAATGTGGCACTGCGAGGGATGAAAATGAGTCCATGCCCACAAACACAGTACCAATCAATGGCTGAAAGTGGTGCACTTTTGGCTACTGATCCACTAAGAACTAATGTTTCTCACATGATTCACATTATTATTCAGTCATCAGCACCACCTGCTTCTGGCCTGTTATAAAACAACAAGAACAAATCCATCCTGTGTGTTTGATTTGATTAAGCACTGACTAATGTATAACAATCTAATTACATAATGTGAATAATTAAGAGGAAAACAGGTTACATAACAAACAGCATCATTTCAGTTGGCTTCTTCTGCCTGTGCCAGATATAAAAATAGGGCTTTTGATCATAACTTTTCAATGCAACTCGATGTCATGATCAAGCGTTGTGATATTTTTAGAGAAAGACTAAGAACCACATTGGAAGTAAAGAGTAACGTTGAAGTGTCTAACTGCTTGACAGAGCTGCTTCTCTTAGTTTGTGTGCTGAGCAGCCTCTCTAAGACACACACAGCTTCACACGGCTGGCAGTTGTGTTTCGAAATTTGAAAAGCATATACAAGCATAATGTACGTTTCATGTGCAAGTTATTGTCTGCGTACCCATTCCAAGTCCAGCGAGAAAAGCAGCCCCTAAACACGACATCTCGTAGTGTTGGGGTCTCGCTACCTTTCTGCCAAACAGGTCTGCAGTCAGCTGCACGATAAAGTCGTTGGAGGAAACACCGCCATCCACCCTGAGACGGAAAGAAAGAAAGATGAGTGCACTCAATTAAACTGCAACTCACTTAACTGTAACAGTATCAGAGAAATATCCGCCCGTAATGCATTGTCAATGAAAGCTGAACTGCATTAGTAGAGGCTGGGTACTAAACGGTACACGTCCAATTTTCTGGAGGAAATCCAAATCCTACAATCACATATTGCACCGTAAACTGGAATATCGAAGGGCTGTGAGGCGACTACGAGAGCCAAATGCCTATGTTGAGTCTTTCTACAGCGAGCTTACATTACTACAATCACATACTCTTTAATTCACACAGTGGATGAGGAAACTGCACCTGATCTTTGTGATGGGAATGCAAGTTTCTCTCAGCATTAACTCATATAGCTGCTTGTTCCTGCAGAGAATAAGAGGCGTACAAGGAGACAATATCAGTTGGCATGGATGAGAAAAGGAGGTCAAACAGAAACACTTCAAAATGACTCACCGAAAGGCGATAGACTCCAGAATGGCTCGGACCAGATGACTTTTAGTGGTAGAAGGTTTGAGGCCCATGAGGGAGGCACACGCTTTGGGATCATTATGAGGAGCCTTTTGGTTAAATAAAGTATAAACACAACCTGTCAGATGTCTTTAATTGAAAACCAGACCTTGTAAATTAATGTATGAAAGGGTCCTCAAGTGTAACTCAACAGCTTCTGGTCAGCTAGAGCGCAGCTATGCTATTTTACACGTATACTATATGAAGTTCTTAATCATACAATCATTAGAAAACATTAGACATCATATTCACATGCATGTAAACCACAAACATTCAGGGCACACACTTACAAAGGCCAGTTCATAATGGAGGGCAGAGAAAAAAAGAGACACATAACCATGTTACACAGAGACCAACTGAAAAAACTAAAAAGTAAATCCATGCCTGTATTGGTTATATGTGCTAAAATGAATACGATATATATGATTGTCTACACATCTGCATATAAAAGTTACTCTGACACAGATGGACTGACATCGTACACATCTACCTGCAGGCCACTGAAGGAAGGAACAAAACACACTCCGTCCGAGTCGCTGACACTGTAAGCCATGTCGCTGGTCTCCTGGACGTCAGAGAAGAGCTCTGCAATAACACACACACAGGTTTCACACACACGCACCCTCTGAAACATGATCTCTTTCACATAGACAACTTTAACTGGTCCCAGCATTGTGTTTTTTTGATACAACTTTATGAAGCCCTTCAACTACCGGCCACAGTTTCTATAATAATATGAAAAACAAATATTCATCAGAGCTATTCCGTACTGCTCATCGCTCACCGAGCTCCTGAGCCCATTTGATTGCAGTGCCGGTGTCGGCTGCATTGCCCTCTGCCAGATACACCACCTCTGAGCCAATCTTCCAACCCACCACAGGATACAGACCTACAGAGAAGAAACATTGGCTTGTAATGTGCCTGTATGGACAAATCTGCATAGAATCATCTTATCATCTGTGTATTTTGCTTTACCCGCTCTGGACGTATGCGGTTTGTTCCCGGTGTTGATGTCCATGAAGGTGCCCGTTCCCATAGTGATCTTGACATCACCGACGTTGAAGCAGCACTCTCCAAACATGGCTGCCTGCTGGTCCGCCATCTATGGCAAAGGGACAGAGGAAGCCGGTTGTATTTTGTGAAAACAAAACCCGAAACACGTTTGATCTCATCTGAGCAACACTGGAAATGTCTAAAACACAGATGGTGTGTAATAAGGGGCAATCCAAGTTTGACCGGAGGAAGACCCGCTTTCAATACCTTTGTATTCAAAGCAGCATGAACTCTACTTCCTGTTACGTTATCCTCCTGCCACACATTCCTTGCTGATGATTAACTAAATATCTCGGCTCGATTTACAACATAATGACGGTGACATCAACTTGGACACTCTGGCATAAATAGAATCAAAAGGTTGCAACCAATGTGATTAGTCCTAATCACACAGATAGCGGAGTGCGTGACGCCACAGACCTCGACAACTCACCACTGACATGATGGGAATGGACACTCCTAAGATGGACGGGTCTGTGGAACCAAAGTCATGGCTGGTGCATCATGAGGGAGAGACCAGAGACAATGCATCATGTCACACTCATTCATCCAAAATCATTACAAAATCATTACAAATAACATATCACACCCAGAAATGATGATAATGTGACAGAAATGTGCTTTTATCAGAGTTCTTCAAGAGCATAAATAAATCTGACACGTCCGTAATCAGACATATTTGAAGCAGCTTAAAAAACCTCTTAAGAGTGATGACTTCATATGATTTCATATGACTGAAACATGAGTTTACATTCACTTAAGTAAGTTAAACCGCTTAATACAAAGCAATAAGTATTGTTGTGAGCAGTTCAACTGAAGAATGATTTAGTTTGAGGCTTGAAGAGGTAAACGTTTACAGTATTTCAGTAAAAAGTAGATTAAAAAAAGGACTAGAAAACAGGCCAAAAAAACATAATAATTAATTCAAAAAACTAAATTCTGCTCCACAAAATCAACGTTTATAACGATAATTTTGGGGGAGTGGCTTTGGAGGGAGGCCTGTAGGGACAGGATGTCAGTGTTGCCTACTTTCCTTGCTAGATTTAGCAACTTTTGGAGCTTCTCAAGATTACCGACCCGAGCTTTAAAGTGTAGTATTACTGCTGACATCTTGGTAACAGGTCGAAAACATTAAAAAAATTAAAAATTGTGGTAACTGCAATAAAATGTATGCATTTATATTAAAGGACTTTTACTGGCTAAGGCATGATTCAAGTGTTGGATGGAATGGTTGACTCACTCTGTATTTTCTACTTTGGGGAAAATAGAGAGCGGCAGAGAAAGAAGAGAGCTGAGAAAGCCACTCCAGCACATCTGTGAAAAAAAATCACATTGCAGTGAAATGACAAAAACAACCTTACACCAAAAACAGGAATGAACAGTAAATAAACATGATATACACCAGACCTGGTAAGTGTCGAAGATTCCTGTTGAACTGGCATTCGAGTAGTCTGTGGCGTGAACCCGCCCTAAAACAGATTCAGGGACACAAATTAATATTTCACAAAATCCCTTTCCAAAAGGTAAAAGAAAGCCGTGTATGAGCTCCCAGTTATTTTCCAACCCCTCCTCTCCCACGGGAGTTAGCTGAAACATTTCAGCCAATCAGTGATGCAACAGGATTGGAACCACAAAGAACATTCTGTCCAGGTCTTAAAATCCTGTTAGACAATGTGAAATGCAATCCACTGGCCAAATTATATATTACTGTACTGTTCTCAAATGACATTATGCTCATAGGGAGACGGCATTCGCATGAGCTTTACATTAAAAATGCCACACCCACCTTTCGTGAGTTTGAACAGGAGCCAGGTGTCTGTTGTTCCAAAGCAGCAGTTGCCTTCAGCTGCTGCTTGAAGAACCTGGAAGAAGAAAGAAACATGACGAGGCCGAAATGAGAAGTAAACGAGTGAGGATTGTGCTGATGATGTGATACAGCCTCTCCCCATTTGCTGTAAATAAATGCTTTGGTTTTTCTTTTGTATAATTAACCCTTAAACCCCCACAGCCTGGGAGGTCTGCTCTCGGTGTGAGTTTCTGTCAGTTAACCGGTTTGAATTTGATACACACCTGTTTGTAGTGTGTTAGGGCCCAGACGAGGCGGAAGGTGACATGTTGAGTGCAGAAGACAATAAGACTTGCTGCAAGCACCCGCTTCTGCCTGGTCAGGAAGTAGAGCACCTTCATAATGCCCTTGATTGCCTGCAGTTGTCATGATTTCAATCAAAGTCATATTGAACGAAGGGTCTTGATATTCAGCAATGATCCTACGGTTGCATTCAAATAACTTAGAAGTTGTAGTATTTCATCTTGTCTCCTAACTTCCAAACGTATTCACTAAACGTACTTGACAGGCAGAGATGCAAAGCAGGAAAAGACTCACTTTCATTGTGCAGGATCTGTTCCAGGATTTCACCAGGTCTGCAGCCCTCTGATCCTGCCAGCTGATGAAGTTATGGAAAGGAACCCCAGTTTTCCTGTCAAAGTGAAAGAGAGGAAGTAAAATGAACCTTAGATAATGCATGATGGAGAAAAAACAATATGAAGGCAGGTTCAAAACGTGTGCTACAGCAGCTCTCCTACAAGTCCTATGTTTTTTAAAGGATATTCTACCTGTCCCATGTTGTGAAGGTGCCTCGTTGAGTGGAGATGCCCAAGGCACCTATCTGACGCATTTGTATTCCTGCATCTATATCATGAGCACACACATTCAAATGGATATGGTGAGAAACGGGACGAGGCACTCACACATTAGGATTGTTGTTTGCTGTTTAAGGGCAGAGACCAGTGTAAATCAATGTAGCATCCTGGGTTTGATAACTTTCTTAAGTGAGAACAGAGTTTAACAGACTTTCAATGACAATATAAGATATAATCATTTCAGTCTGGTCAGCTGTTCAAATTTGCATGGAAAGTTTTTTTTTTTCTTCCTTTAACAGGATATCAAAGTGTTTCTTTCTATTGTGGACAAAACAGCCTTTTCCATGTTAAAATAATGTAGTTCAATAAAAGAACAGCACAGGATACAGCCTTGAAAATAAGAACAGCCTTAAATCAAAGTTAAAACAAAATACTAGTATGTTGCACTTAGTAATGGTAATTGCAGTGCTGGTTATTGGATTTCACCTAAAGAACTGTGTAAGTTAGTCGGTCTTCAGCTGTATTTGTTCACTTTGAAAAATATACAGAAACAGACATTTTAACATGAATTGCATCAATTTTGTCAAAGGGTGCGCCTATTAACATGTCCAATGACTCACATCCCTATAACTTCTTGATATAGTTGTAGCAACAGGGAATGGTGCAATTGTACCTCGCACAGCTCCTTTGACCACAGTGATAAAACCTTCCCAAATTGCATCTGGGTCCATCTCCACATGTCCTACTTCTGGATACAAGGGAACAACCTGGATAGTATTACCAGAATAAGAAACAAAAAGATTAGCCTCAAAATAATCCAGTTTGTGTGTATGTTGCATAAAGACCAGGATGAAAGTGGGCGATGTACTTGAGAATTGTAAAGCCAAATGGACAGCGAGTATGAAGGTATATTTGTGTCTTTATTACGCAAACAAAAAAAAA